TTTACTCCGCCTCTATCAACTTCTTCTCCTGAGTTGAGGTAGGTAGAAAATGATTTCTTGAATTCTCCAACAAAGAGATCTTGACTCTGAGATATGATAGCTTCAAACTGATGTCAAGACTTCCTTGAGGTGTAAGACAAGTGATTCTCCAAGTAACTTAACACCTCAAAAACTGGTTCACAAAAGCTTTTTGTAAATCGTAGACGTTTCAAGAGCTTTTGTAAGTGAGTAAGTCGAGTGATAATGAACCAGCACCTTCTTAGTTGATGAAGGTGAGTTTATATAGGTGATGAAAATCCATCCGTTGGAGGGAGATGAAATTTTCGAACCTTTTAACCATTGGACAAGGACCGGGGAGCTTCATGCATTAAATGCTTCATTAATGAGGTTGTACCATGTAGCCGTTGAAGGTATGGAAAGCATTAGGGTTTTGTCCTTTAGCTCCAAGAGATAGTACATCTTCATTTAATGCTTCTTGAAAAGTGAGTCCCATAAAATGAAGTCCTTATTGTCCTAGGATGTTGTCAAATCAGACAGGTGAAACATTCTTCTCGTTGTTGAAGAGAAGTAATGTTTAATGAAGATCGTCTTTTACAAACACTGTCCTTTCGTGTTTGTTGACAACTCCTGCTTGGCTCTCGTTGTTGTTCTTCATGTCTCGTGTCTTCTTTCGCCTTGGAGATCCTAACATCTAGTCATAACTCATTTTCGTGTGTTTGTCTAGCTTAACACGAATTACAAAAGAGTTATGGCAACTCTCGTCTAGGACGAAAGTAGCGAAACAAAAACAGCTAATGGTTAGGGGTCTACTTTTCTACATTACATTGGTATCATCAAAATCCTAATATAATGTTCCTAACAAAGTTCATTATGCTTTATTTGGTTCATGAAAAATAAATAAATAAATAAATCAAAGGGACTATGATGAGGGAAATATTTTCTTTCTTGAATTCCTTTTTTTTTTTTTTTTTAAAAAAAAGAGCCTGTGCGGCATTTATTGAAAGTAAGATGAAATAGAGTCTGGCAGGCCAGAGTCTGAATACATAGCAGTTGAGTAATTAAAAGCTGAAGTTGCTAAAGTGTGTGCTAAGTAATTATCTGATCTAGGAATAAAACTTAATGAAACATAATCAAAGGTAACCATTCGATTTCTGCAGCTATCAATGGCATAGCCAAGGTATGAGCGAGGTGTATCCTTCGCAAGTGATAAATATTGTTGAAGTGTCAAGCAGTCCGTTAAGAGGTCGACCGATTTCTCTCCACGATCCCATAACCAAGATAAAACTTCTTTACATGCAACTGCTTCTGCCATAAGAGGGGAGAAACAGTCTATCATCGGTGTCTGTAGAGCTGAGATATACAATCCCTGTTCGTCTAGGAGAATTGCCCCTACAGCTGCTTTACTCGTGGTTTGGAAATATGCCGCATCAAAGTAGCATCGGTGCCGCACGCCTCCATGGCTTGTAGATGAGGAGGTGGCCGTGTGGCTTTCGGCGGTCGCGGCAGTAGGCACCTGGACTGGAAGCCGAACAGTAGCAGCGTGACCGATTGCCCCTTGGACTTGTTCGGCGTCTGCCGTGGCAGATCCCCGTATGTACGGCCGGTCGCGTGCGGTCCGGGTGTGCAAGTCGCCACGCCTGGATCGCTGTGGTTACAGTAGCAATCATCTTTCGTGGTCTGGGTAAGCATGCATCCCACACAGCCCCATTTCTCGCTCGCCATATATAATATAATAGGCCCACTGCATAAATAATTCCATCATCATCTAAGATATTTAATATTTCATTAAACCAAACATGAAAAATATCTGTGACACTATTGGGGATTGGAAGGTGAGATTGTGCCCAAATGCTCACTGTATAATCACATCTAACTAAAGAGTGCATAGTATCCTCATGCATGATCCCACACATAGCACATGTTGGATCAATCTCCACTCTCTTTATAATCAGGTTCTTTGTAGTGGGTAATATATCATTCAAGGCTCTCCATAAAAATGTTAATGCTCTCCATAAAAATGTTTTCCATCTTGGGGGTAGCTTAAATATGAATAAAATATTTTCTTTCTTGAATTCCTTAAATATGAAGAAAATAGCATGACCAAACTACCCTCATATCAAATAATGCTTATTTAAATATATTTTATAATATTTATTATATTTTTACGATAAAATATACGTACAATTATACTTCGTAATATTTTAATTTAGATTTTTCAATTTATAAATTACTATTATTTTATTAGAAAAAATTACACTTTTTGTCTCTAAGTTATAAGGTAATTGTAGATCGAATTCGTCCATGAGTGTTGGTCATGCTCACTTTTCGTCCCTAAGTTATCATTGGCGTCGCACTTTTCGTCCCTGCGTTATACTAAAATTGCAAATTTCGTCCCTAATCACTACTACATAAATGGTATATACTACGTCACTTAATAGATGGATGTTTTTTAAATAACCACCGTCTAATATATTTTGTTATACTACGTCACTTAATTGACGACGATTTTTTAAAAAATCGCCGTATATTAGAGACGAAAAGTGAACATGACCAACACTTAGGGACGAATCCTACAATTACCTTATAACTCAAGGACGAAAAGTGCAACACCAATGATAACTTAGGGGCGAAAAGTGAGCATATGCATGACCAACACTTAAGGACGAATTCTACAATTATCCTATAACTTAGAGACGAAAAGTGCAATTTTCCCTTTTTATTATCATATATGTTGGGGCATACTAGTCTTTATATTTATTATTTATTACCATTCCAAACCCAACCAAACAATTAAACCGATATTCTCAATAATTTATTTTTTACTAACTAAACAATAGAATCAATATTTTCAGTAATTTCTTTTCAATAAAATTTAAATTTCATTTTTCCTCAATTATTTTAACAAAAACTAAACTGGCCATTACAAAAACAGCACCTTTAAATAAAAGCTGCAGACCAAAAACCTTGATTTCAATATATATAAGGGTGTGTTTGGTTCATGGGTTAGATATAGTTACATAGGGAATGAGAATGAAAGTCACACATTATTTGATTGATAACGTTTTAAAATATATGAGTTCGTGTGAACAGATTTGGGCTATTGAATACTTCATATCAATGACTTAAATGTAGCCAACTGTGTAACTGTACACTTCACTTGTACAATTGGCGAAATCTAAGCCATTGATCTCAAGCATTCAATGGTCCAAATTTGTCTACACAGACTCATATAACATGATGGACTCATTTGATCACTAGTCATTCATCCTATAACTCTATGTGTATTCTTCTTTTAAACCAAATAGTAGAATTATCGTATTCATATTCTATTCCTTTCGTATTGAAATTCTAAGATATTTCCTTTATTTGAACCAAACAGGCAAACACCATGTTAGGTTTTGAACCCAGGGTACCATGATTGGCAAATTATGCTGTGCATCCGTATACACCATGCATGGTGCATACGGATGCAAAAACGACGTCGTTTTATTAAAAACGCGCGTTTTACTTAAAAAAAAATAAATTCAGTTTCGATTCCCAGCAACAACATTATATTGTGCATGATTTGAACTAAAATTTCAGAATCGATGAACTAAAATTCCAGAATCTATGAACTAAAATTCCAGATTGAATGAACTAAAAATCCATAATGAATGAACTAAATATCCATAATGAATGAACTAAATATCCAGCATGAATGAAAAAAAAAAAATCAGTTTCGATTCACGTCTAAATATCCATAATCAATGAACTAAAATTCCAGAACCTATGAACTAAAATTTCAGAATCTATGAACTAAAATTCCATAATCTATGAACAACATAATGCTGTTGAGGAGAATCGAAACTGATTTTTTTTTTTTTAAAGTGGGATGCGCGTTTTTAATAAAACGGCGTCGTTTTTACATCCGTATGCACCATACGGATGCACAGCATAACGATCCACCATGATTATGCACTCGATCACATTTAGGCCCAAAACCTAGTTAACAACAATATAAGCAATTGTTATACTATGGATCAGGGTTCATATTATATTGTGAGCTCTGATACAAAAATCATGTACCTTCAGTTAACACATTTTGTACCTATATGTAACATTTTCTGTACATATAAATAAATAACTTGATAATTGCTAACACATAATATGATAGTTACAGATATATAAACTATCAACTGTATGTATAGAATGTGTCAACTATAGATACAGAATCTGGAGATTATTTTTAGACCAAAATCTACAATGCAAGGTAGACCCTAGTTCATGGTACAATTTGCCCAATATAAACATATAGCCAGGTTTAATAAAATAAAAAAAAAAAAAAAAAAAGGGATCTTTTTGTGGAAAATGGAAATTCAAAAAGACAAAATCATGTCTTTATTTATTTATTATTATTTACTGTGCCAAATCGAAAGAGATTTTACAATATTTGTCATGATGTAACATATATTTACATGGTTGAATTTTTGGCAGCCATTAATTGTGCCATTGTGGCCCTTTGTTGGGAAGAAGGCGAAGTCAAAAGAAAAATAGCATGCTACATGTCTTCACATTTGTTACAGTTATAATCTAGAGAAAGGAAATGTACAAAATAGGAATTTAGCTCAATATTTCAAGGGTTATCTTGTAAGTCGTTATCTTGTAAGTCTTGCTTTAATAATATAGTAGGAAGCTGATTCTCCATGAAGACACGAGGGTCAATGGAAAATCCAAAATCCAAAAAATTAACTAGAACGGTTTGTAACCCCGTCCCCACCTCCCTTCAAATATATTGAGGATAATTCTTCAATTGAGTTCCAAAGCAGGGGTTATTTTTCTTAGTAGTGAAATTTGGGTAAATTATTGTGGTCCATAACAAAAAGTACATTTTAATATACTAAATGTATATTATTTTTATACTGTATAATGTTCTGACCAGGAGATCGGACCACTCGGCTCTCTTCCTGGACATACGGCCAGGTGGGGGATTTCGTGTAGGTCCGCGGCATTTTCGTTTTGAGATGGCCTGGCTGCTGGATGAGGGATGTAGGGAGGTGGTGGAGGAGGCGTGGGGACATGGGGTGGAAGATTTACAGGCCAGGGTGGAGAGATGTGGTATAAAGCTTCAGAAGTGGGGCGGTGACCGTTTCCATAAGTTTGGGAAACGGATTGCTATTCTCAAGAAGCAGCAGTTGAATTGCCGTGGTCGTGTGAGCCCCGAGGCGTTGGCGGACTTCCGTCGTCTGGAGTCTGAATTAGTACGGTTGGAGAAGCAGGAGGATGTATTCTGGAGGCAAAGGGCGAAGCAGCATTGGCTTCGTGGGGCGGATGCAAATACTCGCTTCTATCACAAGTATGCTTCTGCCCGAAAATGAAATAATACTATTTTACGTCTTAAAGATGAGTTGGGAGGATGGGTAGATGGTGATGCTATGAAAGCAGTTGTAATGAATTATTTTGATAATATTTTTACTGCTAACCCCGATGTGAGTAATGGAGTGGACTTTTTTGCCTCTATCCCTACTCGTGTGACCCACACCCACAATGAATGGCTGAACCGGCCGTATGACCCGGGAGAGGTGAAAGATGCGTTATTTGCTATGTTCCCAGACATAGCACCGGGATCGGATGGAATGAATCCGGGTTTTTATCAGAAGTTTTGGGATATAGTTGGTCCAGATGTGACTAGTTGTGTATTGCAGTGTCTGAATACGGGGTCCTTGCCAACAGGCCTAAATGAGTTGAATATTGTGCTGATCCCGAAAACGCAGTCCCCTGAGATGGTCACGGATCTACGCCCGATTGCCTTGAGTAATGTTGTTTATAAGATTATTGCAAAGGTAATTGCTAATCGTATGAAGCCCCTATTAGGCGATATTATTTCTGTATCGCAGAGTGCTTTTATTCCTGGCAGGTTGATTACGGATAATATCTTGATAACTGCCGAGGTTGGATATTTTCTTAGTCGGAAGCAGTTGGGTAAGGTGGGGTGGGGAGCTCTGAAGCTGGATATGGCAAAAGCCTATGATAAGGTGGAATGGGCATTCTTGAGAAACATGATGTTGGCTCTGGGCTTCCAGGTAGAATGGGTAAATCTCATTATGGAATGTGTCACTACCGTTTCGTATAATATTATGATTAATGGTGTGTCTGGAGGTCAATTAACCCCATCCCGCGGGCTCCGTCAGGGGGATCCTATATCCCCATATTTGTTTCTTATCTGTGCGGAGGGTTTATCATTGTTGCTACAACAGGCTCAGGATAGAGGTGATGTACATGGTTTAAGGGTGGCGAGAGGAGCTCCTGCTCTCTCACATCTTTTGTTTGCAGATGACAGCCTCCTGTTCTTTAAGGCAAATGCTGGTGAGGCACAGGCAGTTAAACGGTGTCTTACTGATTATGAGAAGCTTTCTGGTCAGACTATTAATTATAATAAGTCAAATATATGCTTTAGTAGGAACACTCAGCAAGCGGAAAGAAATTTGGTGGCGACAAAATTTGGGGTTCATCAAGCACAAAATTTTGGAAAGTATCTGGGGCTGCCAGCATTTGTGGGGAGGAATAAACGGGCGGGTATTTGCTTATGTGGAGGATAAGGTGTGACAGCGAATTGGCTCCTGGAATAAGAAACTTTTGTCCCGAGCAGGTAAAGAAGTTTTACTCAAATCGGTGGCACAGGCAATGCCAACGTTTACTATGAGTGTGTTTTTGTTACCTGACTCACTATGCAAGAATCTGGAGCGTGTTATGAATAGATTCTGGTGGCGCAATGGAAGGGATGGGGGAGGAATACATTGGCTCGCATGGGATAAAATGAGTGTACCGAAGAAATATGGGGGCCTAGGTTTTAAGGATTTGAGAGCTTTTAATGTGGCTATGTTGGGTAAGCAGGGTTGGAGATTTTTGACAAATCCTCATTCTCTGGTGGCAAGAATATATAAGGCAAGGTATTACCCGAATACAGATTTTTTGAATGCCTCAGTTGGAAATAATCCAAGTTTCCCATGGAGAAGTATAATGGCTGCCCAGGAACTCATTATTCGTAATGTCAGGCGAAGAATTGGAAATGGGGACACCACTTTGGTTTGGGGGGACTCGTGGTTGCCGTGTGAATCTGAGCCACGAATAATGTCTGAAAAGCCTCCTCATCTGGGGGAAGTCAAAGTTTCAGGGTTAATTGATCCGGCATCAGCTACCTGGGACGTCCCTTTACTTAATGAGCTATTTTCTGCGGAGGAGGTGGAGCGGATTTTGGCTATTCCAATTAGTCCTGCCTATGATGATATGTGGTATTGGCATGGGGACCCTAAAGGAATTTATACGGTAAAAGCTGCCTATCGTGATTTAATGGGAACCGTTTCTGTACCCCAAATAGCTTCACATCTTGGAATAAAATTTGGAACCTAGAAATACCCCCCAAGTGGAAAGTTTTCTTGTGGAGAGCTGTGCGAGGAGTATTACCCACCACCACGAACTTATATAATAGGAGGGTAGATGTCCCATTAGCATGCCCTTTGTGTGCTCTAAGCTCTGAAAATATTTTACACTCATTAGTACAATGTGAATTTTCTAAATGTGTGTGGAATATTTCGGGATTTGTTATGCAGGGTTCGGTGGATGATGACTTTGGTGTGTGGCTTGAATCATTCCTCCAAAATATTGATGAGAAACAATTTATTTCCATGGTGGCCATTATGTACAATATTTGGATGCAACGGAATACGGCGGTGTGGGAGTATAAGGTTGGTAGACCACGGCTTGTGTACGAACGGGCAATGGCTAACATGGAGGCGTGGTGCTCTGCTATGGGCCGCACGGAGGGACAGCAGCAGTCCGCGGCTACTGCCACTGCTGGGCAGCCCGAGACACGGCATGCTACTGCTGTCACAGGGCAGTCACGGGCGCACATTTGCTGCTCCTTTGACGCAGCTTATTCGGCCACGACTCGACGGGGGGCGTACGGTATTATACTTCAGGATGCGAATGGCAATTTTTTGGCAGCCAAAAACGGCCCCTTTCCGCTTTGTCAGGGACCATTTATGGCGGAGGCATATGCATGCAAAGAGGCCCTATCCTGGCTTAGGGATCATGGAGTCACAGAGGTGGTGTTACGGTCAGATTGCTCGAACCTATGTCACGCACTTGGTAGTTCAGTGGTTGAGAATCGCACTTACGATGGTTTAGCTGTTTCAGCATGTCGGGAGTTGATGAATCCTTTAATTTCCTACTCTTTTGTTTATATTTCCTGTTCTTTAAATATTTTAGCTCATTCGTTAGCTCAGTCAGCCTCTGCGCAGGCGAACACGATGTTATGGGAGGATAACCCTCCTTCCTTTATTTCGACTTTGATTGATTAATATATACCGCAGTTTACTTTCAAAAAAAAAAAATAATATAATGTACACTTAGTACAAAAATAATGTATATCCCCTAAATACAATGTACACCATTTTTGTACTGAATGTACATTATTTTACAGTATACAAAATATGGTCTACACAACTTGTGTGGAACATGGTCCACACAATAATCATTGCTTATCCTTTTGAGTTAAACAAGCTCCAATGGGCTATTGGGCTAGACCCAATTTATATAACCCCAACAATACCATTTTGGATGGAAGGATGGGATATAAGAGAAAGCAAACTTGAATGGATTGTTATGCTGTGGAATCGTGTCCATCTTGCAAGGTGGAAATGATTCTATATGCATAATTACTGAACTCTATGTTTATAATTATAAAATTCTATATTCATAGTTTTTGAACTTCATATTCACAATTATTAAACTCTATATTTACAATTACAGAACTCTATGTTCATAATTACTGAACTCTATATTCATAATTATAAAACTCTTTATTCATAATTTTTGAACTTTATATTCACAATTATTAAACTCTATATTCACAATTATAGAACTCTATGTTCATAATTATAGAACTCTATATTCATAATTATGAACAATTTTGGAACTGAGATGGACACAATTCCACAACATAATTTGCCAACTTGAATACTTAATCAACTTTCTATTAAAGTACCATTTATGGTGAAAATTGAATTCTTCATCATATATTATATGTAAAATAATATAAACTGTACTGTTGCGTAAAAAGATAGACAATGAGTCCATCCAAAGGAGAGACAAGACATCCTACTTATATCCTCCCAAATGTTCTGTGGGGTTGGGGTGTGGGGGACCCTTAGGGTTGGGGTTCAATCTTTTGAAAGAAGACATCCTACTTATATGCCCAGGAACCTTTTTTAGTGTGACACGTGTGATCCTCCTTCACCCTTCTTCCTCACCATCCACGTGTCCCCTCTCCCCGTTGCCATCCTCCTACGTACAAAACGACCAGGCAATGCCACGTACACCTCACACTGTCACACATGCCCACACCCAGGCCCCCACGGTGGCAAGACAAACCACCTGCGCTGAGTATGCATATTAACATAATGCTGTTATCGGAAATCGAAACTGAATTTTTTTTTCTTAAGTGAGACACGTGTTTTTAGTTAAAACGACGTCGTTTTTGCAACTGTGTGCACCATGCATGGTCCACACGGTAACATAGCATAATTTGCCGGGTTGTCCCAATGCATCAACATTTTGAACAATTTAATAAACTAATTCTTTGCCGGCCCATGATATAACACATTTTACCCTCACTACTACTTATAAAACAATTTAAAATTAAACCAAACATACGGAGTTTAAACAAATTATTTAAATTAATGAGAGAAGTTGGGAAGCATTTCCCCCCCTTCACTTGGAAACAAATTAAATTATGGAAACTTCACCTTTAGTACAATCAGCTGCACCATAAAACCCAGATAAAACCAAAAGCTCTTCTAACCTGCCTGCAAATTAAACCACTCAATCTCAATACATTATGGTGGAAAAAGTTTGTTTTACTATCTTCTTATGCCTCTCAGCTTGTTTAGCCACCCTTTTCCCAGGTTTTAATCTGATCACGCAAAACTATCTCACCTTATTATGCTGTATGTGTTTAATTACTTTTCATCAATTCCATGTTTTATGTTTTTGTTTCTATTTGTATTGATAATTTCAGAGGTAAATGGTGCAAGGAGACAACCGCAGGATAATAAGCTTATCCTTAATGGCCCCGAAAAGCTCTTTGTTTTCGGTGACTCCTATGCTGACACCGGTAATTGGCCATCTACTGATACTTCCAGGTCTTGGAGAGAACCTTATGGTATGACTTTTCCCGGCAAACCTTCCGGCAGATGGTCTGACGGTCGCGTTCTCACCGATTACATAGGTTCCGTTTGGTGGTTCCTATTTTTATTTTTAAATTTTTTTTGCCTATAACATTCCGTATCCTATCTCTATCAAACTAATTTAGATTCCAATTAAATTAGGTACGTTTATAAAATTTGACTCTTATACAAAGAACTTGTCATAGAAACATAATTAGTAAATTTTTGGTTATATATATCATCAGCTGCATATCTGGGAATAGGATCCCCACAACCCTACAATTTGTGGAAAGCAGATGGGGAAGCAAAGCAATATGGGATGAATTTTGCATATGGAGGGGCAGGTGTGTTTGACACAATCGAAGGCTGTCCGAACATGGCGACACAAATAAATTATCTGCAACAACTCCTTCAACAAAATGTGTACACCAAACACGACCTTACATCGTCCGTAGCTCTTGCCACTTCGGTCGGAAATGACTATGGGAATTATCATGGACAAGTAAGCTGTTAGGGTTAAATAATTATCACCATTGCAAAAGTCTGCTTCAATTAATATAATGATTCTGATATCAGGATCAACACTATATATACTTATCAACCTATCTTTATTTCTTTATATCGTTATATTTGACACTTTATCAGCTTCTTCCTGATAATCTCCTAACGACCAATTGCTGGACTTGTTTGCAGGAGGAATTTGTTGAATCCATTACGAAGCAGATTAGTGTGAACCTTAAACGCATTCATGAGATGGGAGTCCCCAAAGTAGCCGTGACAGCAATGCAACCTTTGGGGTGCCTACCCTTGGTAGCTTTTTCAACTGGTAACTACCCAAACTGCGACCAAAACACAAACAACATTACGAGGTTTCACAATCAAATGTTAAAACAAAGGATAGACCAACTCAACTACCAAACCGATGGGTCACCTTTTGTTGTTCTTGATCTCTATGCTGCCTTCACGTCAGCCTTGAACATTAAACACGACCAACATCCTGGGAAATCTAGTTTCCCACATCCATTGGCGCCATGTTGCCATGGTAAGTGTGGGGAGGTTGATTTGAGTGGGAAGAAGGAATATGGAGTGTGCGATGATCCAAAAGTGGCATTCTTCTGGGATTTAACACACCCATCACAGCAAGGCTGGTTTGCTGTTTATTCTGGCTTGAAATCTTCTCTTCCCCATCTGTTTCAGCCTCAGCAGGCCACCGCAATTGTTTAGACAATTCAATGTTTATGAACATTGAATAATAAGATCAACCATCCTATTAGCATTATTAGCATCTTCACCCTAGCTTGTTTAATTTTTCTCATTTACCTTTTGCTCCACTTAAATATATCTATACACTAGTGTAATCCGCACAGCTGATGAGTAATGAGCAATGTTTGGTAGATTTAATTTATAATTAATTTATATTTTGTGGATAATTAGTTCAAATCATCCCTAAAAGGTAACCAAGTGGATTGAGCGTAATTCTAGTATTAGAATATCACAAGTATATGAACAGATACTACAATGTAATAGAGTCAGTAGCTTTCAAAAAAGAATATCACAAGTTTAAAATTTCTCTCTCTATAATATACTATATTTGTTGAATTTGTCGCCCATATCTTGCTAGCATGGTTAACTTAGGTACCATAGGGTGCAAGTTTTTCTCCTCATAAAAAAAAAAAAAAAATATACTGACCCTGTTTGGTAAAATAGTTATCCAATCAGCCAATTTTGGTTTATTTGATCACTAATAATTGTTTGACTTAGTTAAAAAATCAATATAAATGTTTGGTTAATTAGCTTTTTGTAACTCTAAAATGTTAAAATTCAAAAAGCTACTCAAAACAACTTTTTCAGCTTTTTGAAAAAAGAAATTATATCAAGCAGCTATCAACTAACAGTTAATTTACCAAACACATCTCTACAATCAGCTAATGTTATTAACTAGTTACACTTTCTAATTAGTTAATCCGCTAACAGCTAGCTATCTGCTAACAGCCATTTACCAAACTAGGCCACTGAGTTCTAAAATTCTATCAAATTAATGAGAGAAGATAGGAAGCATCTTTCAACTGCCCAATTGAAACTTAATTGGAGGAGTTTGGTTAGCTGGAAAATATTTTTTCAATGAATTAGAATTAGTAAAAAGTGGAGAAAAGTTTATTATTCTTTGTTTGGTTCATGATAATTTTTTTAAAAGGAACTTAAAATCCGCAAATATGATGAAGAACTTGAGTAGTTCACAGGTTCACACATTAAAGTTAATTTGTATCTTTTTTTTTTATTTTTATTTTTTTACAAATTGTATCAAAATTATATCATTAAAAATTTGTAATTGTGATCTTTTAAATGACATCTATTTGATATATTTTTTATTTTTAAAAAATAAATCTATAAATACATAAATTCATTATTTTAGTGTTACGCTTAGGTAAATTAAGCATTGATTTTATGAACATATAAAAAGAATATTATGAATCTACTACAGAGTGTATGGACATACATATAGTACAAATATTATGAATATAGTAGAATATTGATTTTATTAAACATGATGCATTTGTAGTATAATGTTTATACACAATAAGCTTTGTTTTTTTATGAACATATAGACGGACTATTATGAGTATACTATAGAGCAAATAAAAATACATATGATGTATATTTAGTTTAGTTTTTATTGACATTAAGGTTTATGTTTATGCACATATAGAGCAAATATTATGAATAATACAGTACATTATGAATGTTATTAATCATATAATTTGTCTGTAGTAAATGTTTATTATATACCTTAAACTTTGATTTTATGAACATATAGAAAGAATATTATGAGTCTACTATAGAGTATATATAGTGAATGAAAATACACAATGTACATTTAGTTAAATATGATACACTAATTGACATTTAATAGAAAATGATGTCATTTTGAACTAGGACCCACCATGCAAGGTGAACATCGGTCCACAGTGTAATTTATCATTTAAACCTAACATGATTAAAATATCAAATATCAATGCTATTGAAATTAATATATATATATATATATATATATATATATATATATATATGGGAATGTAAATTATTATTATTATTATTATTATTATTATTATTGTTGTTGCTGTTGTTGTTGTTGTTATTGTTGTTCTTCGTAAAGAGCAAAACGCATGACATGCATTTACAAAAGAAATATATTATCTTTGCGAACATGAAGCAACATAACACACATAGCTTACATTTACTAAATACATTGTTTGTTTTGCTGATTACATTTAATTAAAATTTTTAAATTTAAAATTTATGTCTACGAAAATCACTTTAAGCTCCAATTTTTAGGTGTTCCTTCCGTAGAAATACCCACAAATTGGATTTAATCTTCGCGACTTTTTTAGTATAACTCTCTTTGTATCACCATGATATTTTTGGAGTCGGACAAGCGATGAGTTTGTGGTCTTTTTTGTTTTCTTTTTGTTTTTGTTTTTTAATTTTTATTTAATCCCAATACTAATCCATTATAAAGCAAAATTTGATTCAAGATACCATCCATACTTTATTATAATAAGAAATTGCTAGAATATCATTTAATATTTTGATTATTTATTTATTTATTTTGCACTATATAAATTATATAAATAATAATACTTATTGAATATATGTTATTGTTTGTACATCATATCATATCGCATGGGTGACATATTAGTATTATATAATAATTTTTGTTGATAGTTGAATATTATCACCAAATCAATAATCTGATCAACTTGGTTGGGTTACTTTCAATATATAAATATTTTGAACAATTTAAATAATAAACTAATGGGTTTTGAACAATTTAATAAACTAATTCTGTGTCCATGACCATCTCCGGGCGAGCTGGCCTAAAAGAAGTAGCAGTTAGATCTCTCTTTTTTTAGGGTATCCCCTCCTTGTCCATCAAAAAAAAAAAAAAAAAAAAAAACTAATTCAGTGTCCAAGATATAACACATTTACACAATTTAATAATGGGTTTTGAACAATTTAATAAACTAATTCTGTGTCCATGATATAACACATTTTACACTCACCACTACTTGGAAAACAATTTAATATTAAACCAAACATACATAGTTTAAACAAATTAATTAAATTAATGATAGAAGCTGGGAAGCATCTTTCCCCCTTCAGTAGGAAACAAATTAAATTATGGAAACTTCACCTTTAATACAATCAGCTGCACCATAAAAACCGGAAAAAAGCAAAAATGTCTTCCAACCAGCCTGCAGATTATACCACTCAATCTCAATACATATATATAATAATACATTATGGTGGAAAAAGTTTGTTTCTCCATCATCTTATGCCTCTCAGCTTGTTTAACAACCATCCTTTTCCCAGGTTTAATTTTGATCTGATCATGCAAAACTATCTCACCCCTTATGCTATATATATTTACTTCAATTCTATGTTTTTTTGTTACTTTTAACTTTTCCTCAGCTTTTTTAATCCTTGTTTTGTTTTATATGCTTCTAATGTGCAAGTAATTAAGCGTATTTGTTTTTTTGGAAAAAGAATTTTTTTCTTTTCTAACTAGTAAACGTATTTTTATATTTTATTCTATTTGTAATGATGATTTTAGAGGTAGTATATGCTGCAAGGAGATGCCCACATGATAAACTTATCCTCAATGACCCCGAAAAGCTCTTTGTTTTCGGTGACTCCTATGCTGACACGGGTAATTAGCCACCTACAAATGCTTCCGGGTGTTGGAGGGAACCTTTTGATATGACTTTTCCCGGCAAACCTTCCGGCAGACGGTCTGATGGACGCGTTCTCACTGATTACATAGGTGCCATTTGTGACAAATGAAAACAAATTAAAATATTTCAGAAAAAAATTGTATTTTTGATCCTCCAATTATACCAGTGGTACAGACTTAGTTTTGAAGTTATATGTGTGATTATCTTTAATCCCTAAGTTATGGGCAAATGATTTTAGTCCCGGAAGCTAAGGACCAAATCAAAAACAGAAATAGTATGTCCCTAAAAGGCTAAAATCATCACTTCAAACATAACTTAGGGTTTAATTAATGATGGTCACACAGCTGTAGCACTGAAAGACCAAAAACATAATTAGTAAACTAAATATTAATATTTTAAGTTTAAAATAAATTTTGTTGTTATGTATATATATATCAGCGGAATATCTGGGAATAGGATCCCCACAACCCTACAATTTGTGGAAGGGGGATGGCGAAGAAAAGCAGTATGGGATGAATTTTGCATACGGAGGGACAGGTGTGTTTGACTACACAAACGTTGACGGTCCGAACATGACGACACAAATAAATCATTTGCAACAACTCCTTCAACAAAACGCGTACGCCAAACACGACCTTACATCGTCCGTAGCTCTCGTCACCTCGGTCGGGAATGACTATAGGAACTATCATGGAGATATACCAGTAAGTCTTATATCACTCGGTCACACATTTACACTTGTCCCAGACCATCACACATATCATTATTTCTAAGACACGTCCAATCAAGTCAAATTAATATTAGAATGTAATACTTATACTGAAAAATGTTTTGCAGGAATTTATTAAATCCGTTACGAAGCAGCTTAGTATGAACCTTAAACGCATTCATGAGATGGGAATCCCCAAAGTGGCCGTGACGGCAATGCAGCCTTTGGGATGCTTACCTGTAATGACAAATTTTCATTTTTGATAGTAATAATAATAATAATAATAGGCTAACTAGATATTTTTAGGTCTTATTCTTTCTAGGCCCAAATTATAATTTAGTTGGTTAAGTTTTGATTTGGGCTTAGTCCATTCTTGGGCCCAATAATATTTGTATATCATAAGCTTGAGAAGTCCATTAGGGGGAAGGAGATTATTCTGGAATCTTAGTAGAGAAGAAAGAGGGGAGAAAAGGACACTTTGAGCTTTTGGCGTAAGAAGAGTGAGGAGGCAGTAGGTTTTGCTTTTGTGCTCAAAAACAAAGTAAAAAAAGGGGACAAGGTAATTACTTTAGTTTTGTTGTTAAAAGAAGATATTTTACACTTTAGCATCCTGGTTCATTTTTTGCTGTAATTCGAAGCTCAAGAATGGGAATTCTAGTGAAGAATTGAAATTGTCAAGGGTTGTTTTAAAGTGGGTGTTTTGGGATAGCTTTAGTAGGGTTATGTGCTATTTTATTATTTCATTTCCCTTGCAAACCTATGATTTATTACCCATGTTGCGGCTGATTTTTCTCCCTAATGAACTACATCTTATTTGTTCAATTTTGACAGTACTTGTTTCAAGAAGAGTAATAGAGGTCTTAGGCTCATTTATTTATATTTTTGGCTTGTTGCTTGGTGTGGAGAAAACATGGTTTTTTTTTATAAATTTACAAGAAGAATTTGTAAATATTTGGAATGCTAGTAAGTTATAATGGTGTATGTATTTGATAGGTGACCGTGAAGGTTAGTGCATAAAGGAATTTCTATGCTTAAAGCTTACTAAGGTAAGGGAACTTTGCACTTACTCATTGTAACTTATATACCATAGCTTAAGTGATTGTAAAATATTGAAGCTATTCTTGAATATTATGGGCATGTTTTGTATGATAAAGAATTAGTACATATCTCGTGAAAATTTGGGAATTTGATGCGTTTTAATGTTGATCATGGTATATATAGATTTTCAAAGGTATTAATCATATTGGTGGTCTAACCACCCTTGTCTTGACTTGGAATGTTCCCTTGATTTCCAACTGGTGGTCTCGCCACCCTTGATTTGGAACATTCCCTTGATTTTAATTGGTAGCTTTGCTACCCTTGACTAGTGTAATATTATTAATTGATCTTGGCTCATCCTATGAGTATATTATAGTTCTCAAAGTAAAATGGTGAGTTAGGTATGTAATATCTTTATTTATTTATTTCTATGATATTTTGAGCACCGATCTATGATTCATGACTTGAAGGGAAAACTCTGGAATTATTGATACTCTTATGCGATAAAATTGTATAAGAATACTAACGCTTTTATTATACTTTTTATTAAACGTCTTATGTTACCTTATTTATTTGTGGTCCTCTTTATTCTTTATACTTGATTTGGTAGAGAAGTGTTATATGATTACCATGCTTTGAGCTCACTTGTGTGTTCATGTTTTCAGATTAGAGTGTTGATCGAGGTTAAGACAAGGGAGGTCACATTTTGGGGTTAAAGACCATGGGGTATTAGTCTAGTATTTTGTGATAGAGGAGGACTACTTCTAGTCTTTTTGTGGAGATCAAAGTCCATAGTAGGACCTTGGATTTCAAGTTGTAATTTTGGACCATGTCTAGAAGCTTAAATGTGTATATTATAATTCCAATTAAGCTATCTTTGGGGGAAGGAACTTTAAGACCAAGAGGTTGTTTAGGTTATCTTGTGATTGATATTTTGTTTAGCAGGCTTCGTATTATAACGATTTTGTTTTTGTCGTAATAATACGTCCGGGTTATGCTCATTTTTGGGGCGTGACAGAGTTGGTATCAGAGCCTAGGTTTGGAATTGATTTTCTATCCAAGCATAGGTTGACTCCTTAAAAAAAAAAATAAAAAAAAATCTAGGCTTGTAAACAAATGTATGTTCTAATATGGATTGGGTGGGTCGGTTGTAAATCTTAGGTATTTGATGTTGTGAATGGTTGTTTGTATTGTTTTTGTTATATTTCATTGTTTGTATGTCTTTCAGCAAATTAGTCAATTCATGGATAGAGGTCGTGGAGGAACCTCTGGCGGCGGAAGAGGAAGGCAGGCAAGGCAATCGAGAGGTGGTCGAATTGCTAGGCTAGTTCAAGGGATTCGAGATGTACCGGTTGATGAAGTCCCTTCTTCCGGTATTCCTCAACCTCAAAATACCTCTCAAGCTGCGCCTCAAACAACTACACAAGTTGACATTGCGGGCACCTTTCAAGTGTTAGCTAACCTTTTGCAGCAACAAGCAACTAATAATCAAGCGTCCTATTTTGAAAGGTTTAGACGTGTAAACCCACCGACTTTCGATGGTGGACCAAATCCCTTGGCAGCAATTAAATGGATCAAAGAGGTGGAGAAATTGTTTGTAGCTATGCAGTTCCCTCCGGAAATCAAATTGGGTGTAACTATACCATTGCTTCAAGGAAATGCAGAGCATTGGTGGGGGGTTACAAGGGCATCATACCCAGATGGGGATCATATAACTTGGGAAGAATTTAAGAGGGTGTTTTATTGTAACTATTTTCCTGATAGTGTAAGGAGGGTGCTAGAAAATGAATTCCTAAATTTGGTGCAAGGTGATATGACAGTCTTGGAATATGCTCATAAATATATGGAACTAGGAGAGTTCTTTCCAATCTATATGAGTAATGAGGAAACAAAGACCAATAGGTTTGAAAATGGTTTGAGGTCTGCAATCCGCAATCATATGTCATCTAATGTTTATCATAGCTATCAAGAAGTGTTCGATAGTGCCATAAAAGTTGAAGCAAGGTTGAATGAGTCCAAGGAGCAGTGGTCTGACAGAAAAAGGGTAAGAGAATCCATACAACAATATGGAAAGCCAAGGGATAGTGGAAATATACCAAATAAGAAGACAAGTAAAGGACATGTTGTGCAGACCAAGGAGTGCAACTTCTGCCATCTTTATCACACTGGGGAATGTCGCCGTAAGTCTGGGGCATGTTTTGAATGCGGTCAATTGGGACACAAAGTGAAAGATTGTCCAAGGAAAATGCATATTGCAGCAGGATCAACTCAACAAAAACCCAGGACTAATGCTCGCGTATTCGCTATGACTCAACAAGATGCAGATGTTGCCGACAATGTTGTTTCAGGTATATTGCCCATAAACTCTATAAACGCTTATGTCTTGTTTGACTCTGGTTCCTCTCATTGCTTTGCGTCTAAGAGATTTGTGAAGTCTTTGAACCTAATAACGGAAAAATTAGATGAACCCTTGTTTGTTAGCACCCCTATGAAGAAGATTGAAGTTGCGGATATGTGGGTCAAAAATTGTATTCTTTTGCTTGGAGGGAGAGAAATGGTGGCAAATCTAGTTTTGCTGGATATACATGATTTTGATGTCATACTTGGGATGGATTGGTTATCAAAGAACCATGCTTATATTGATTGCTCTAAGGGAAAGGTTATATTCCAGATTCCAGGGCAACAAGAATTTTGCATGCAAAATTGCAAAGAGAGAGGTGTATTGGCCACTAAGATACCCCTACATATCATCTCAACCATGAGTGCAAGAAAATCATTAAGGAAGGGATGTCAAGGGTTTATAGCTTATGCAATTCATGCACAAACCAAAGATGTGAAATTAGAAGACATTCCAGTGGTTAGTGATTTTCCTGAAGTTTTTCCTGAGCAATTACCAGGAGTACCCCCTGATAGAGAGATAGAGTTTGAGATTGATTTGATCCCTGGAACAACTCCTAAGTCCAAAATTCCATATAGGATGGCTCCAGCAGAGTTGCGAGAATTAAAGGTACAATTGCAAGAGTTACTAGACATGAAATTTATCCGCCCTAGTGTCTCACCTTGGGGTGCACCTGTTTTGTTTGTTAAAAAGAAGGATGGGAGTTTTCGACTTTGCATCGATTATAGAGAGTTGAATAAGGTAACTGTAAGGAACAAATATCCGTTACCCCGCATAGACGACTTATTTGACCAATTACAAGGAGCAAAGTATTTCTCTAAGATTGACTTGAGATCTGGTTATCACCAATTGAAAATCAAGGCAGCAGATGTACCTAAAACTGCGTTTCGAACTAGATACGGCCATTATGAATTCTTGGTTATGCCTTTCGGGTTAACGAATGCTCCCGCTGCTTTCATGGATTTGATGAACAGGGTTTTCAAGCAATTCTTAGATAAATTTGTTGTAGTCTTCATCGATGATATTTTGGTTTACTCTAAAACCAAAGAAGAGCATGTAGAACACTTAAGGATGGTGTTGCAAACATTGAGAAACAAGAAGTTATATGCAAAACTAAGTAAGTGTGAGTTTTGGCTTAACAGAGTATCTTTTCTTGGTCATGTAATATCAGAAAATGGAATTTCTGTTGATCCAGCCAAAGTAGAAGCAATGTCTAATTGGCCACGACCTACAAATGTAACTGAGGTGAGGAGTTTCCTAGGGCTGGCCGGCTATTATAGAAGGTTTGTGGAAGGATTTTCTCAAATTGCTTCTCCCTTAACTAACTTGACACGGAAGCTTGTGAAATTTGAGTGGACAGCAGAATGTGAAAGAAGTTTTGAGGACTTGAAAAGCCGTCTAGTAAGTGCACCCATATTAGCACTCCCCTCGAGCATGGGAGGATTTGTTATATACAGTGATGCCTCAAAGAAAGGGTTGGGTTGTGTGTTAATGCAAAATGATAGAGTGGTGGCTTATGCTTCTCGCCAACTAAAACCTTATGAAGAGAACTACCCAACTCATGACTTAGAGCTTGCAGCGATGGTTTTTGCTTTGAAAATTTAGAGACATTATTTATATGGGGAACCTTGTGAGATTTTCACTGATCACAAAAGTTTGAAATACTTGTTCACACAAAAAGATCTAAATATGAGGCAAAGGCGTTGGCTAGAGTTAATTAAAGACTATGATATAAGATTTCACTATCACCCAGGAAAAGCTAATGTGGTTGCAGATGCACTTAGTCGAAAATCATCTATGGGACTTGCAAACTTTCTAACTATGCAACCTCAGATACTAAAAGAGTTTGAAAGGATGGAGGTAGAAGTGATAACTAAGGATAAGTTTAGTAAGGTTCTGGCAACTTTAACTGCTCAACCAGCATTATTGGATAGAATTAAGGTTGCTCAAATTGATGATCCAGGGTTGAAAAATATAAAAGAAAGATTAGAGAAAGGTGAGACTACAAACTTTTTAATTTTTGGGGATGGTTCATTGCGCTTCAAGTCTAGGTTGTGTGTGCCAAATGATGAGGTGATTAAGAGGGAAGTCTTAAGCGAAGCTCATAAGTCTCATTTTGCAATGCACCCTGGTGCCACAAAGATGTATAAAGATTTGAAAAGAAACTTTTGGTGGAGCGGCATGAAGCATGACGTAGCGGACTTTGTATCAAAATGCATGGTTTGTCAACAAGTCAAAGCAGAACATCAAAGGCCTGCAGGATTACTAAGGCCCTTAGAAATACCAGAATGGAAATGGGAACACATTTCAATGGATTTTGTGTGTGGGTTACCAAGGACTACTCGAGGAAATGATTCTATTTGGGTGATTGTTGATAGACTCACTAAGACTGCACACTTTTTGCCAGTTAGACGTACTACACCATTGAACGATTTGGCTCAACTCTATATTGATGAGATTGTTCGATTGCATGGAGTTCCAGTGAGCATTGTTTCAGATAGGGACTCAAGGTTTTTATCAAAATTTTGGAAGAGTTTGCAAAGAGCCTTGGGTACAGAACTTAAACTCAGTACAGCCTTTCACCCTCAAACTGATGGGCAAACAGAAAGGACAATTCAGACCTTAGAGGATATGCTTAGAGCTTGTGTACTTGACTTTAAAGGCAGTTGGAGTAAACATTTGCCCTTAATTGAGTTTGCTTATAATAATAGTTATCAATCAAGCATTGGAATGGCACCGTATGAAGCATTATATGGGAGGAAGTGTAGGTCACCTTTGTGTTGGGATGAAGTTGGAGAAAGAAAGATATTGGGTCCTGAACTGGTAGAACTTACAGTTGAGAAGATTCAGTTAATAAGAGATAGGATCAAAACTTCTCAAGATAGGCAGAAGAGTTGGGCTGATTTGAAAAGACGAGGCTTAGAATTTAATAGCGGAGATTTTGTGTATGTGAGAGTGTCTCCTACTAAGGGCGTGATGAGATTTGGAAAGCGTGGAAAGTTAAGTCCTCGCTATGTGGGACCATTTGAAGTTCTTGAAAGAGTTGGTGATTTGGCCTATAGGGTCGCACTTCCACCAGGATTATCTAGTGTCTACAATGTCTTCCATGTATCTATGTTAAGAAAATATATTTCAGATCCTAGTCACATATTGGACTATGAGCCACTGCATATCAAAGATAACTTGTCCTACACAGAAGTGCCTATTCGTATAGTTGACAAGAAGGAACAAACCTTAAGGCGACGTAAAATCCAGTGGGTCAAGATACAATGGTCTAATCACACATCAAGAGAAGCTACTTGGGAACGAGAGGAGATCATGAGAGAATGTTATCCTGAGCTCTTTACTGAGGAAGGTATGTAAGTTTCGAGGACGAAACTTTCATTAAGGGGTAGAGTATGTAATGACAAATTTTCATTTTTGATAGTAATAATAATAATAATAATAATAATAGGCTAACTAGATATTTTTAGGTCTTATTCTTCCTAGGCCCAAATTATAATTTAGTTGGTTAAGTTTTGATTTGGGCTTAGTCCATTCTTGGGCCCAATAATATTTGTATATCATAAGCTTGAGAAGTCCATTAGGGGGAAGGAGATTATTCTGGAATCTTAGTAGAGAAGAAAGAGGGGAGAAAAGGACACTTTGAGCTTTTGGCGTAAGAAGAGTGAGGAGGCAGTAGGTTTTGCTTTTGTGCTCAAAAACAAAGTAAAAAAAGGGGACAAGGTAATTACTTTAGTTTTGTTGTTAAAAGAAGATATTTTACACTTTAGCATCCTGGTTCATTTTTTGCTGTAATTCGAAGCTCAAGAATGGGAATTCTAGTGAAGAATTGAAATTGTCAAGGGTTGTTTTAAAGTGAGTGTTTTGGGATAGCTTTAGTAGGGTTATGTGCTATTTTATTATTTCATTTCCCTTGCAAACCTATGATTTATTACCCATGTTGCGGCTGATTTTTCTCCCTAATGAACTACATCTTATTTGTTCAATTTTGACAGTACTTGTTTCAAGAAGAGTAATAGAGGTCTTAGGCTCATTTATTTATATTTTTGGCTTGTTGCTTGGTGTGGAGAAAACATGGTTTTTTTTTATAAATTTACAAGAAGAATTTGTAAATATTTGGAATGCTAGTAAGTTATAATGGTGTATGTATTTGATAGGTGACCGTGAAGGTTAGTGCATAAAGGAATTTCTATGCTTAAAGCTTACTAAGGTAAGGGAACTTTGCACTTACTTACTCATTGTAACTTATATACCATAGCTTAAGTGATTGTAAAGTATTGAAGCTATTCTTGAATATTATGGGCATGTTTTGTATGATAAAGAATTAGTACATATCTCGTGAAAATTTGGGAATTTGATGCGTTTTAATGTTGATCATGGTATATATAGATTTTCAAAGGTATTAATCATATTGGTGGTCTAACCACCCTTGTCTTGACTTGGAATGTTCCCTTGATTTCCAACTGGTGGTCTCGCCACCCTTGATTTGGAACATTCCCTTGATTTTAATTGGTAGCTTTGCTACCCTTGACTAGTGTAATATTATTAATTGATCTTGGCTCATCCTATGAGTATATTATAGTTCTCAAAGTAAAATGGTGAGTTAGGTATGTAATATCTTTATTTATTTATTTCTATGATATTTTGAGCACCGATCTATGATTCATGACTTGAAGGGAAAACTCTGGAATTATTGATACTCTTATGCGATAAAATTGTATAAGAATACTAACGCTTTTATTATACTTTTTATTAAACGTCTTATGTTACCTTATTTATTTGTGGTCCTCTTTATTCTTTATACTTGATTTGGTAGAGAAGTGTTATATGATGTACCATGCTTTGAGCTCACTTGTGTGTTCATGTTTTCAGATTAGAGTGTTGATCGAGGTTAAGACAAGGGAGGTCACATTTTGGGGTTAAAGACCATGGGGTATTAGTCTAGTGTTTTGTGATAGAGGAGGACTACTTCTAGTCTTTTTGTGGAGATCAAAGTCCATAGTAGGACCTTGGATTTCAAGTTGTAATTTGAACCATGTCTAGAAGCTTAAATGTGTATATTATAATTCCAATTAAGCTATCTTTGGGGGAAGGAACTTTAAGACCAAGAGGTTGTTTAGGTTATCTTGTGATTGATATTTTGTTTAGCAGGCTTCGTATTATAACGATTTTGTTTTTGTCGTAATAATACGGCCGGGTTATGCTCATTTTTGGGGCGTGACACTACCCTTCGTAGCTTTTGCAACTGGCAACTACCCAAACTGCGACAAAAAAACAAACTACTTTGCGAGGTTTCACAATCAAATGTTAAAACAAAGGGTAGACAAACTGAACGAGGAAACCGATGGGTCACCCTTTGGTATTGTTGATCTCTATGCGGCCTTCACGACCGCCTTGAACATTAAACACGACCAGCAACCTGGGAAATCTAGTTTCCCACGTCCATTGAAGCCATGTTGCGCTGGTAAATGCGGGGAGGTTGATGAGAGTGGAAAGAAGGAATACACAGTGTGCGATGATCCAAAAAAGGCATTCTTCTGGGATATGGCTCATCCATCACAGCAAGGCTGGTTTGCTGTTTATTCTGCCTTGAAACCTACTCTTCCCCATCTGTTTCACTTTGAGCAGGCCACCCCAATTGTTTAGACAACAATTTAATATATATGTTCAAAATGCTAATAAAAGCTCAGATGGAAATCTGGATGGATTGGGTTTACCTAATGCACGCTCTCGATTAGTGGTTGCGGGTTTCCCATGTCACCCGACTAGTCATAGAAACTTATTTGAGTTCATTAATAGTTGAGAGTTTTAGTATAAAAAAAAAAATATGATATCAATTTTATAATTATTACAAACTTTTATGTTTCCGGCCAATATTAATAAAACTATAGCATCGCCCCCTCCAAGAAACTAGTTGGTCGCTTTTTTCCACCAGAGAAGGCGACATGCCGGTTGCCTTCTTCAGAGGCAACCAGTGATCGTTCGTTAGTCGTCGGAGTTGTCTAGAGTCACTGCTGGAAATTATGAAATTTACGACTACCTGAAAGTGATCTTAAATCAAACTGAAAGTAAAAAGTGGTCGGAAATAGCAACAAAGGTTTTTCCGGATACCAAAAGTGGTCGGAACAAGGCTTTCGACTTGATTTAAGATCACTTTCAAGTGGTCGGAAATTTCATAATTTCCAACAGTGAGTCTTGCCGAAACTCTAGTGATATGTTATTACATGTCAATAACTGATTTTTGGGATCCGATGCACAAAAATAATATGCCAATGAACTTAATTGTAATTTTTAAATGTTCAAGTTCCTAATTGAGTTTTTTTATAAAATTTAGGGGTTTATTTGACCATTTTCCCTTTTATATCTACTATACTAATAAGAGCCCAAGAGAGTTAGGCCTATAATGGGTAGAAAAAATGGCGGTCAATTTTTTTAATCAAATGAATCATGAATGGCTCAGATTGATCAGATTTTAATTTTTCCTTAAAGATTTCCTAATTTATCCTTAATGAATATGATTATTCGTTAACTTTTCCGTTAAATATTATTTTTTTCGTTAATTTCTGTTAGTTCACCGTTAACTTACTCATTGATTTTAATAAGAAAGGTCTTAGGTTCGAACCCCATCTCAATCAAAGTTGACATAATTAGTACTCTATTTCACTCTTATTAAATTATATAATTAAAAAATAATACATATACATTTCTTTAGGTTTATAATTATGTGTCTACGTACTATGTCTTTATTAAAAAAAAAATTACTCATTATCAATAAATTAAATAAGAGAAATAATTTCATTAGTTATATTGTCTTTATTTTTCTCCAATATAAAAATTCTTTACATTCAAATTTATCAATTGATTATATTCGCTACATTGTTCATATAATGTCTTTATTAAAAAAAAGTTATTCATTCATTATCAATAAATTAATTAAAAGAAATAATTTTATTAGTTATATTATTTTTATTTTTCTCCAATGTAAAAATTCTTTACATTCAAATTCATCAATTGATTATATTCACTACATTGTCTATTATTTTTTTTGTGCACTATTTTTTAATTAAATATCAAAGTTATAATACAAAATAATGCTATATATTTATTTACCAAGTATTTTATTAATACTATGAAAAAATTAAAAAATATATATAATTAATAAAGTTAATCATATTAACTACTTGAGGGATTTGTTGACAAAGAGAGTATTCAAATCACACAACAAATTGAAGTGAGAACTACCTCGCAATGTCATTGTTTGACAATCAGCAGTTAGCGGTAGCGGATTAGACCAGCGAATTATATCAACGGTTGGTAAAAAGATATTTAAAAAAATTAGCTATTTAGATTAACATGTAAATGACCTAAGGTATAATAATAATAATAATAATAATAATAATAATAATAATAATAATAATAATAATAATAATAGTTTTAAAAAAATATATAATTAAGCCAATCATATTAACTACTTGGGGATTTATAAACAAAAAAAGTATTCAAATCACACAACAAATTGAAGTGGGAAACTACCTCGCAATGTCCTTGTTTGGTAATCAGCAGTTAGCTCTTCAATATTAGTATATATTTAATATTTTATGCCCTAATTTTTATTTGCTCTTTGTTATGTCCCGTATTTGATTTAAACCATAACTATACAATTATTTTATTGACAATTATAATCAATCTTGACTATATTATCTTGCATTCGTAAACTTAGAATTACCTATTTAAATGCGCAAATTCGTAAACTTAGAATTACCTATTTAAATGCGCAAATTCAACATTCAATTATCTATGCATGAACAATTCCAATATAATCTTGCCTTGATATACTTTAAAGTACTTATTTAAAAAAAAAAAAAAAAAAAAAAAAAAAAAAAAAAAAACATTGGACATTATCTCAATCGCGCAATGCGAGTAAAAAAACTAGTTTATATATATAGTCTGTATTGGGTTGAAGAAGTGTTCGAAAAACCAATGCATCTACAGCACTTAACAAATTAATAAACTAATGTGGGCAAATTTAATAAAGTAATTATGTATCCATGACATTTACACGTTTTACACATTCTAGCTAGGACCAAAAGCTACGGAGTTTAAACAAATTATACGGAGTACTAAATTAATGAGAGAAGATAGGAAGCATCTTTCACCTTCACCTTCACCTTCACTTGCAAAGTCTTCCTCACTGCAATTTTTAAGGAAACTGCACTCTTAAGAACAAAAACCTGAGAAATTAAATCTCAATTTCAATGTAATACAATATGGAGGAAATAGTTTGTTTCACCATCTTCTTATGTCTTTCAGCTTGTTTAGCCACCCTTTTCCCAGGTTTTGATCTGATCACGCGAAACTATCTCACCTTAATAGTTTTAGTTTATGTCTTACTTTTTACTTTAAGTTGTTCTATTTGTATTGAAACTTTCTGAGGTGAATGGTGCAAGAAGACAACCACATGATAATAAGCTTATCCTTTACAGCCCTAAGATGTTGATTGTTTTCGGTGATTCCTATGCTGACATCGGTAATTTTAAATATGTATTAATATTAAACTTTTAAGGCGAAATTTTCTTATTTCCAAGCCCCACATGATAGTGGACGACTAAATTGAATCAATCAGTTCATTAAGTAGGACTATAGGAGAATCATTGTTTGGTACGAGCCTGCCATATTGGGTGTAACTTATGGATTCAGCAGCTCGTTAAGTAAGATTGTAAGAGAACCATTGTCGGGTGCCTCATAACGAGCTTATCACATTTGGTGTATTGACAATTTCAGAGGTAAATGGTGTAAGGAGACAACCACAAGATAATAAGCTTATCTTCCGTGGCCCCGAAAAGCTCTTTGTTTTTGGTGACTCCTATGCTGACACCGGTAATTGGCCACCTACTGGTGCTTCCAGGCCTTGGCGGAAACCTTATGGTATGACTTTTCCCGGCAAACCTTTCGGTAGATGGTCCGACGGTTGCGTTCTCACCGATTGCATAGGTTCCGTTTGGTGGTTCTTAATTTTTTTTTTAAAAATTTTTTGCCTATAACATTCCGTATCCTATCACTATAAAATCAATTTAGATTTCAGTTAAGTTAGGTAAGTTTATAAAATTTGACTCTTACTCGAATGAAATCAGAAATATAATTAGTAAATTTGTGGTTATATATATCAGCTGAATATCTGGGAATAGGATCCCCACAACCCTACAGATTGTGGAAAGGAGATGGGGAAGCAAAGCAATATGGGATGAATTTTGCATATGGAGGGGCAGGTGTGTTTGACACATTCGAAGGCTGTACGAACATGACACACAAATAAATTATCTGCAACAACTCCTTCAACAAAATGCGTACACCAAACACGACCTTACATCGTCTGTAGCTCTTGTCACTTCGGTCGGGAATGACTATGGGAATTATCATGGACATATACATGTAAGTTGTTAGGATTAAATAATTATTACGACCCCAAATAATTAATACTATACTTGTCAGTTAGGGAAGACGTATCTTTATTTCTTATCGTTATATCTGATACTTTATCAGCCTCTATCCGACAATCTCCTAGCGACCATTTGCTGGATTTGTTTGCAGGGTATGGAGGAATTTGTTGAATCCATTACGGAGCAGCTTAGTGTGAACCTTAAACGCATTCATGAGATGGGACTCCCCAAAGTAGCCGTGACAGCAATGCAACCTTTGGGATGCCTACCTGCGGTAACTTTTTCAACCGGCAACTACCCAAACTGCGACGAACATACAAACAGCATTACGAGGTTTCACAATCAAATGTTAGACAAACTGAACGACCAAACTAAGGGGTCACCCTTTGTTGTTCTTGATCTCTATGCTGCCTTCACGTCAGCCTTGAACATTAAACACGACCAGCATCCTGGGAAATCTAGTTTCCCACATCCATTGGCTCCATGTTGCCTTGGTAACTGTGGGGAGGTTGATTTGAATGGGAAGAAGGAATATGGACTGTGTGATGATCCAAAAATGGCATTCTTCTGGGATATGACACAGCCATCACAGCAAGGCTGGTTTGCTGTTTATTCTGCTTTGAAATCTTCTCTTCCCCATCTGTTTCAGCCTCATCAGGCCACCCCAATTGTTTAGACAATAATTCAATGTTCAAAATATTGGTAATAAGATCGAGATCGAAAATGCTTAGCTTATTAACATTATTGAATATATAATAAGATCAACCATTATCCTACTAGCATTATTAGCATCTTCACGTACCCTTGTTTTTCTCATCTACCTTTTGCTCTACTTAAATATATCTATACACTAGTGTAATCCGCAGAGCTGATGAGCAATGTTTGATAGATTTAATTTATAATTAATTTAAAATTTGTGGATAATTAGTTCAAATCATCCCTAAAAGGGGTAACAAAGTGGATTGAGCATAATTCTAATAATATTAAAAGCTCGCATGGGTAGCTCAACTGGTCATAGAGGTGAAACTTTGGAAGAATGATCAAGGGTCGAGTCTCACCAGCTCCTTGTGCGCAGTGAGCACCGGTTTAGCATCTGGGGTTCATGTTCAGTTGAGTCACCATACTATCAGGGTGCAAGTTAAAATTAAAAAATAAAACATACTGACCCTGTTTGGCAAAATAGTTAACCAGTCAATTTTGACTTATTTGATCACTATTAATTGTTTGATTTGGTTAAAAAATCAATAAGTGTTTGGTTAATTAGCTTTTTGTAACTCCAAAATGTTAAAATTAAAAAAACTACTCAAAGCAACTTTTTGAGAAAAAAAAATTATATCAAACAGCTATTAGCTAACAACTAATTTACCAAACACCTTTCTACAATCAACTCATGTTATCAACTATTTACACTCTCTAATTAACCAATCAGCTAACAGTCATTTACCAAACTGAGCCACCGAGTTCTAAGATTCTATTAATGAGAGAAGATAGGAAGCATCTTTCAATTGCCCAATTGAAACTTAATTGGAGCAGTTTGGTTAGCTGGAAAATATTTTTTCAATGAATTAGAATTCGTAAAAAGTGGAGAAAATTTTATTATTCTTTGTTTGGTTCATGATAATATTTTTTAAAAGGAACTTAAATTCCACAAATATAATGAAGAACTTGAGTAGTTCAAAGGTTTGCACATTAAGGTTAATTTTATTAGGACTCTATTATTCATATTAGACTAGGACTATATTATTCATGTTAGACTAGGATTCTATCTAGCATCTTTATATATTCGCTCCCTGTACTCTCAGACATCATTCATAAACTACAGAAAATATATTCTCATATGGTATCAGCTAGGTTTTTCCATGGAAAATATCGGTGTTAATGACGACTCTGTTCTTGGTTCCTCTGAATGGACTGTTACTGAGATTCCTACGATGCCTGCGAGTGGTAGCCTCTCATCGGCTCATCACTTTGTTTCGTTAAAGTTGACCTCCCGAAATTATCTATTCTGGCGGACTCAGATGCTTCCGTTTCTTGAACGCCAAGGGCTTCTAGGGTTTATTGATGGTTCTACACCCTTTCCAACGGCATCGCCGGCGCTGGCATCAACCGCGGACAGCGCCCCGGCGGTGGTTTCCGATCTCCCGACACGGCAGCTCGCGTGGCGCCAGCAAGACAAAGTCATCCTCTCCATGCTCATCTCCTCTTTATCCGATGAGACTATTCGCTTCGCCGTCGGCAAGGGCACCTCGCGGCAGCTTTGGTAGGTAATCGAACAAACCCTAGGTTCGTCTACCCGCTCTCGTGCACTCCGGCTTCTCGACGAACTTCAGGGGCTCCGTCAAGGTGATTCCTCCATATCTGATTACCTTGGTCGTGCCCAGATGTTGATTGATGAATTGGCTTTCGCCGGTCGTCATGTTGAGTTGGATGATCAGAACTTATACGTGTTTCGCGGTTTACGCCCGGAGTTCCGACCATTGGTGGCAACCCTAGCCCGCGGTGCTCCCGTTCCCCTCCCGGAGGTTGCGGATTTTCTTGTTTCGTAGGAATGGATCTGTTCGGATGACGGTGCGGCTCTCGGCGCACCGGCAGCCTTGGCCGTGAGCCGCAGAGGATGCAGTGGTCGCGGTAGCAGTCCGTAGAACCGAGGAGGTGGCGGCCGCCGTGGCCGTAGCCGGGGGCGGTCCAACTCGGGCCCTCGGTGTCAACTTTGCAACAAGCAAGGGCATATAGCTACGACATGTTGGCATTGTTTCACTCCTGATCCGGATCCTTAGGCGAATGTCGCCGTTTCTGGCGTTGAAGGTTCTATGGATGACTCTCATCAATGGTTTCCTGACACTGGGGCCACAAATCATGGCACTCCTGATCCCACCTTATTGACGTCCTCTACTACGTATGATGGTCCGGAGACACTTCGGGTCGGCAATGGTACAGGTTTGCCTATTGTTACTGTTGGTTCTACTTCGTTAGCCACTGATTCTAGGTCGTTTCGTATGTCTGATGTCTTGCATGTTCCTGGTTTATCTTCTTCGTTATTATTTGTTCAACGTTTTGCTAAAGAAAATAATGTCTTTTTTGAGTTTCACGTACCCTTCGTGTTTCTTTGTGAAGGACATTACAACCAGGAACACTCTATTTAAGGGGCATGCGTCTGGGGGTTTATATGACTGGCCTACCTCGCGTTCAGCTCCTTCTGCTTTTGTTACTACATGATCCTCTTTCGTTTGGCATATGCGGCTTGGGCATCCACACTATCGGGTCTTGCGTCAAATTTTAGGCTCGTCTAGTCTTAGTTCTTTTAATCCCAGTGATATGCCCAATATTTGTTCCTCTTGTCAATTGGGCAAGTCTTCTCATTTTCCTTTATCGCATGTTGAATCTACTAGTTCGCATCTTTTAGAATTAATATATTCGGATATTTGGGGCCCTGCGCCGATACTTTCTGCAAATGGCTTTAAATATTTTGTATTATTTGTGGATGATTACACTCGTTACATGTGGTATTATCCTATGCGGGTTAAGTCTGATTTGTATGCGATATTTGATAAGTTTCGGTCACTTGTTGAATGTTCATTCTCTCATAAAATTCTATCTTTTCAGTCTAATTTAGTGGGAGAATACCAAAAAACTTGGTTCGACTCTCGCGTCGTTGGGTATTCGTCACAGGCAGTCTTGTATGTATACTCATGAACAAAACGGCAGAGTAGAACGCAAACATCGCCATGTTGTCGAAACAGGACTGGCGCTAATGGCCCAGTCCTCTGTTCCGTCTCGTTTCTGGGATTATGCCTTCGAAACTGCTGTGTATCTTATTAATAAAATGCACACTCGTGTCTTATCTGATAAATCTCCTCATTATTTCTTGCATCGGTCTCCTCCCTCTTATTCATACTTGCGTGTTTTTGGGTGTTTATGTTTTCCTAACCTGCGTCCCTATAATCGTAAAAAACTACAATTTTGGTTGTCTCCTTGTGTCTTTTAGGATATCCCCCATCTTTTCGTGGCTATCGTTGTTTAGACACTAATACTAACAAGGTTTTTATCTGTCGCCATGTGCGATTCGATGAGATTGTCTTTCCTTTTGTTGTTTCTGTTGACTCGCAGGTACCCACACCACGCCTGGAGCCATGGGGTGTTGCGTCGGTTGTGTCTCGTGGTAAGCCGAGTACTGTCTCGGCCTTTGATGATCAACCTGCCGTGCCCATAGCCAGGTCCGACCAGCACCGCTATCAGACTGCCTCTACCGAGCCGTCCGTGACCGAGTCCGAACGGACAGTCACGGACCAGCCACCTGCTCGGCCGAGAGGTCGACCCCGTGGTCGATCTCGTCCCGTTACCTCACCCGTTCGGTCTCACGAGATGAATACGAGGAGCTCGGGGCCGCATGATCATGTTGCTCTATCCACTGATATCACTACTAAGCCTACATGTTTTACTCAAGCGGTCAAATTTCCCGAATGGCGGGATGCAATGGGTTTGGAATTTAATTCCTTGGTGCACAACAATACATGGTGGCTCATTCCTTTTAAATCAGGTATGAAGGTGGTTGGCTGCAAGTGGGTATTTAGAACCAAGAGAAAAGCTGACTGTTCGATTGAGCGTTACAAGGCTCGATTAGTTGCCAAGGGATTCAATCAGGTTGCCGATGAGGATTTCTTTGAGACTTTTAGTCCCGTGGTTAAACCGACTACGGTACGACTTCTCTTATCCTTAGCTATTTCTCGTGGATGGACTATTCGACAGTTAGACATTCATAATGCTTTCCTAAATGGCAACCTTGTTGAGACGGTTTATATGCGCCAGCCCCTGGCTATGAAGACAAAACGATGCTCGGGCACGTTTGTCTCCTTCAACGTTCTTTGTATGGGCTTAAACAAGCTCCCCGCGCCTGGTTCATGCATTTGCATGATTTTCTGGTTTCTGTTGGTTTCTCACCTTCCAAAACTGATGTCTCTTTATTTATATATTTACGTGGCAATACTCGTCTATATTTTCTGGTCTATGTGGATGATATTTTAGTCATGGGTTCTGATTCGGCTCTTGTGACTGATCTTATTGGCAAGCTGGCTCTTGAATTTAAAGTTCGTGATATGGGAGTGCCTTCATTTTTTCTAGGTATTGAGACTATTCCGTTGTCTGATGGCATGCTTCTGTCTCAACAACGGTACATGAAAGATATTTTAAAACGAGCAGGTATGGTTGATTGCAAGCCTTTGGCCAACCCGGTTTCAACTGCGAAGGCCGAGACCGGTGCCGTGGTGCCATATGTTGATCCCACTCAGTATCGCAGCTTTGCAGGTGCTCTGCAATATCTTACGGTAATTCGTCCTGATCTTTCCTATGCAGTCAATCGTTTGTGTCAGCACATGCACTCTCCCTTTACTGCGGATTGGGCGGCTCTCAAGAGGGTGTTACGGTATGTAAATGGGACACTACATCTCGGTCTTAAAATTACTCATTCTTCCTCTCTGGATATTCATGCATATTCTGATTCGGATTGGGATGGCAATCCTGATGATCGAAAATCTACTAGTGGTTTTGCTGTGTTTTTGGGGACCAATCTTGTCTCATGGGTTTGTCGAAAGCAGCATACTGTGGCTCGTTCATCAACTGAGGCAGAATACAAAGGACTCGCTGATGTTTTTGCAGAGGTTACTTGGCTTGTCTCTCTAATGAAGGAATTCGGGTTTGCGCCACCTTCTGCGCCCAAACTCTGGTGTGATAATCTGGGTGCTACTTATCTATGTGCTAATCCGATGTTTCATGCTCGCACTAAATATATTGAGATCGACTACCACTTTGTTTATGATAAAGTAGCAAAGAAGGAATTACAAGTCAATTTTATTTCTACCAAAGATCAGATAGCGGATATTTTTACTAAGTCTCTTTTGTCTGTACGTTTTAATTTACTCCGTTCCAAACTCAATGTTTTGACTGACCAAACTTGTGCTTGAGGGGGAGTATTAGGACTCTATTGTTCATATTAGACTAGGACTATATTATTCGTGTTAGACTAGGATTCTATCTAGCATCTCTATATATTCGCTCCTTATACTCTCAGACATCATTCATAAAATACAGAAAATATATTCTCATCAATTTGTATCTTTTTTCTTTTCAATTTGAGTTTATGATTCTCCTTTTTTTTTTTTTTTTTTTGACAAATTGTATCAAAATTATATCATTAAAAATTTGTACTTGTGATCTTTTAAATGACACCTATATGATATATTTTTTATTTTTAAAAAATAAATCTATAAGTACATAAATTTATTATTTTAGTGTAACGTTTATGTAAATTAAGCATTGATTTTATGAACATATAAAAAGAATATTATGAATCTACTACGGAGTGTATAGACATACATATAGTACAAATATTATGAATATAGTAGAATATTGATTTTATTAAACATGATGCATTTGTAGTAAAATGTTTATACACAATAAGCTTTGTTTTTTTTTTTTTTTTTTTTTAATGAACATATAGAAGGACTATTATGAGTATACTATAGAGTGAATAAAAATACATATGATGTACATTTAGTTTAGTTTTTATTGACATTAAGGTTTATGTTTATGCACATAAAGACAATGACAGAGCGGCCTGTGATTTAGTGATAGTATATTATGAATCTTATTAACCATATAATTTGTCTGTAGTATAATGTTTATATACCTTAAACTTTGATTTTATGAACATATAGAAAGAATATTATGAGTCTACTATACAGTATATATAGTGAATGAAAATACACATAATGTACATTTAGTTTAGTATTTATGAAAAATTAATGTTTGGTTTATGAATATATAGAAAAAAATATTATGAACATAATACATGATAATGTTATTAAATATGATACACTAATTGACATTTAATATAAAATGATGTCATTTTGAACTAGGACCCACCATATATGCAAGGTGAACATTGGTCCACAGTGTAATTTATCATTTAAACCTAACATGATTAAAATATCAAATATCAATGCTATTGAAATTAATATATATATATATATATATATATATATATATATATATATTTGGGAATGTAAATTATTGTTATTATTATTATTGTTGTTGTTGTTGGTATTATTTGTAACGAGCAACACGCATGACATGCATTTACAAAAGAAATATATTATCTTTGGGAATGTGAAGCAACATAACACACATAGCTTACATTTACTAAATACATTGTTTGTTTTGCTGATTACATTTAATTACAATTTTTAAATTCAAAATTTATGTCTACGAAAATAACTTTACACTGCAGTTTTTAGGTGTTCCTCCCTTAGAAATACCCACAAATTGGATTTAATCTTCGCGACTTTTTTAGTATAACTCTCTTTGTATCACCATGATATTTTTTAAGTCGGATAAGCGATGAGTTTGTGGTATTTTTTTTGTTTTTTGTTTTTTTTTTTGTTTTTTAATTTTTATTTAATCCCAATACTAATTCATTATAAAGCAAAATTTGATTCAAGATACCATCCATATTTTATTATAATAAGAAATTGCTAGAATATCATTTAATATTTTGATTATTTATTTATTTTGCACTATATAAATTATATAAATAATAATACTTATTGAATATAATATATGTTATTGTTTGTACATCATATCATATCGCATTGGTGACATATTAGTATTATATAATAATTTTTGTTGATAGTTGAATATAGTCACCAAGTCAATAATCTGATCAATTTGGTTGGGTTAATTTCAATGTATAAATATTTTGAACAATTTAAATCATAAACTAATGGGTTTTGAACAATTTAATAAACTAATTCAGTGTCCATGATATAACACATTTTACACAATTTAATAAACTAATGGGTTTTGAACAATTTAATAAACTAATTATGTAACCACGATATAACACATTTTACACTCACCACTACTTAGAAAACAATTTAAAATTAAACCAAACATACATAGTTTAAAAAAATTAATTTAATTAATGAGAGAAGCTGGGAAGCACCTTTCCCCCTTCACTTGGAAACAAATTAAATTATGGAAACTTCACCTTTAATACAAACAGCTGCAACATAAAAACCAGCAAAAAGCAAAAATGTCTTCCAACCAGCCTGCAGATTATACCACTCAATCTCAATACATATATATAATAATACATTATGGTGGAAAAAGTTTGTTTCTCCATCATCTTATGCCTCTCAGCTTGTTTAACAACCATCCTTTTCCCAGGTTTAATTTTGATCTGATCACGAAAAACTGTCTCACCCCTTATGCTATATTTACTTCAATTTTATGTTTTTTGTTACTTTTAATTTTTCCTTAGCTTTTTTAATTCTTGTTTTGTTTTATATGTTTCTAATGTGCAAGTAATTAAGCGTTTTTTTTTTTAAAGAATTTTTTCTTTTTTAACTAGTAAACGTATTTTTATATTTTATTCTATTTGTAATGATGATTTCAGAGGTGGTATATGCTGCAAGGAGATGCCCACATGATAAACTTGTCCTCAATGACCCTGAAAAGCTCTTTGTTTTCGGTGACTCCTATGCTGACACCGGTAATTGGCCACCTACAAATGCTTCCGGGTCTTGGAGGGAACCTTTTGGTATGACTTTCCCCGGCAAACCTTCTGGCAGATGGTCCGATGGTCGCGTTCTCACCGATTACATAGGTGCCATTTGAGACAAATGAAAACAAATTAAAATATTTCAATGAAAAATTGTATTTTTGGTCCTCCAATTATATCCATGGTACAGACTTAATTATTTAAGTTATATGTGTGATCATCTTTAATCCTAAGTTATGCGTAGATGATTTTAGTCCCTGAAGGACCAAATCAAAGACAGAAATAATCCCAAGAGGTTAAAATTGTCGCTTCAGACATAACTTAGGGTTTAATTAATGATGGTCACACAGTTGTACCACTGAAGACCAAAAACATAATTAGTAAACTAAATATTTATATTTTAAATTTAAAATAATTTTTTTTGTTATGTATATATATGTCAGCGGAATATCTGGGATTAGGATCCCCACAACCCTACAATTTGTGGAAGGGGGATGGCGAAGAAAAGCAGTATGGGATGAATTTTGCATACGGAGGGACAGGTGTGTTTGACTACACAAACGTTGACGGTCCGAACATGACGACACAAATAAATCATCTGCAACAACTCCTTCAACAAAATGCGTACGCCAAACACGACCTAACATCGTCCGTAGCTCTCGTCACCTCGGTCGGGAATGACTATAGGAACTATCATGGAGATATACTCGTAAGTCTTATATCATTGAGTCACACTTGCGTCAGACTGTCACACAGATCATTATTCTTAAAACGGGTCCAATCAGATCGAATTAATATTAAAATGTAATACTTATACTGAAAAATGTTTTGCAGGAATTTGTTGAATCAGTTACGAAACAGCTTAGTATGAACCTTAAACGCATTCATGAGATGGGAATCCCCAAAGTAGCCATAACGGCAATGCAGCCTTTGGGATGCCTACCCTTCATAGCTTTTGCAACTGGCAGCTACCCAAACTGCTACGAAAAAACAAACGACTTTACGAGGTTACACAATCAAATGTTAAAACAAAGGGTAGACAAACTGAACGAGGAAACCGATGGGTCACCCTTTGGTATTGTTGACCTGTATGCGGCCTTCACGACCGCCTTGAACATTCAAAACGACCAGCAACCTGGGAAATCTAGTTTCCCACGTCGATTGAAGCCATGTTGTTATGGTAAATGCGGGGAGGTTGATGATGAGAGTGGAAAGAAGGAATATGAACTGTGCGATGATCCAAAAAAGGCATTCTTCTGGGATATGGCGCACCCATCACAGCAAGGATGGTTTGCTGTTTATTCTGCTTTGAAACCTTCCCTTCCCCATCTGTTTCACTGTGAGCAGGCCACCCCAATTGTTTAGACAATAATTTAATATAATGTTCAAAATGCTAATAAAAGCTCAGATCAGATGGAAATCTGGATCGATCGGATTAGTTAGTTTAGTTTTATCTAATTGGAATTAGATTTATCCAATTGGGTATGGCTCAAATAATTGGTTTTTGAATAATAATCTTATATATAAATATTCAATATTCTTCCAAAAGGCTGAACCCAACCCTAAGGACCCCTACATCCCGACTCGACAGAGCATTTGGGAGGAATAAATATTCAATATTATTAGCATGAATTGTTATGTCATGGATCATTATATTATCCATCTTTAGCTTGTAAGGTGAAACAAAGTCAAATTATTTTTAATTTAAATATTTTTTTTTTCTTTTTTTTACAAATAAAATTAATATTTAGAAAGTATCACTACAAAACGTACTCTAATTATTGAAAGATTTTATATGACACTTATATTGATATATATTTTTTAATATTTTAAATTAATTTTCTATTACAATAAGTTACTAGCTTAGTATCAAAGTGGGTTGAAACCAGCTGGCCGGTCCTAGCTTGCCCAATGATGAGGAAGGTTAGGGTTAAAAATTTTGGCACGCGAGGAAGCAGGTCTATCTCGCGAGTTCAAACCACAGACTAGTGAATATTTTAAAAAAGTGCGTACTTTTTAATTAAAAAAAGGAAAAGATTGTAACTCATTCTTATATTCAAATATTTTTAAAGTATTCATACTTTTACAATCATATATATTTTGCCTTATTGTTCATTGTATTGTATATAATATAAATATAAATTAATATTTTTATATAAAAAAATTTGTACGAATTATGATTATGATAAAAACATTAAAACATCATTACCCATCAAATCATAATGTATATAAATTTAAAACTTATTTTTCTTATTTATATATTAAAATATAATATAGTATAAGAGTTTTCTTTCTTGTTAAAGTTTTTTTTTTTTTAAATAAAAAATTAAGCTAGCCAGCAGCTCGGTCTGTCAATCCACATAGAGTAAGTTAGGGCCAAAGAAATTTATCCGCAGGCTTCGCATGCCGGCTTATAAGGCCGACCAAATTTCTAGCCTGCCATGGGACAAGCCTAATATGACGGATTGGCTTGCATTGACACCCCTAGTCACTACTATATGGTTATTTTCAACTACATGTTCATTTTAGTGATGCAAAAATATTATATATACCTTATAGACCCATCATTTTGTATTGTAATAAGTTCATGTTCCACTACTAGAAATTATGGAATTTCCGACCACCTGAAAGTGATCTTGAATCAAGTTGATACCAAAAAGTGATCGGAAATAGCAACAAAGGTTTTTCCAGACACCAAAAGTGGTCGGAACAAGACTTTTTACTTGATTTAAGATCATTTTCAAGTGGTCGGAAATTTCATAATTTTCAATAGTGTTCTGGGGTGAGTAAAATCACGAAACAACAAACATTTGACAGGTAGAAACATCTTTAGAAGGAAAGGACACGAAGGAAGCAATTGGAAGGAGCAGAAGTCGGAAGAAGGCCGGCATTTTCTTATCGATTAGGGTGATCACAAGACATTTTTCTGTCAATTAAGTTCACAAGGCGGAGTTTACGAAATGCACACTATCAATTAGTGGTTGCGGGTTTCCCACATCACTTGACTGATTATAGAAACTTATTAGGCTTGGTTCGTTAATGGTTGAGAGTTTTAGTATAAAAAAACATGATGTCAATTTTATAATTATTGCAAACTTTCAAGTTTTCAATATTTATAAATCTAGCATTGCCGCCCCCTCCAAGAAACTAGTTGGTCGCTTTTTCCACCGGAGAAGGCGATAACCAGCGATTGTTTGTCCGTCGTCGGAGTTGGCTTGTCAAAACACTAGTGATATGCTATTAAACGTCAATAGCTGGTTTTTGGGATCCGATGCACAAAAATAATAGGTTAATGAACTTAATTGTAACTTTTAAATGTTCAAGTTTCTAATTGACTTTTTGAATAAAATTTAGGGGTCTATTTGATCATTTTTCCTTTATATATATATATATATATATATATATATATATATATATATATATATATATTGTATTTAAATGTTTATTTTTTTTGAAAAAAAAATCATAATTGAAGACCGAAATGCCCTCGTATTTAACGATATATAGACGGTTTTGTTGATAAAGGACAAAAAATGGTCATGTCATAATAATACTAGGACCAAAAGCGAATGTTCTAATAAAAAAGGACTTAAAGTGGATTGTCACCTATAAATCTAGGACCAAAAATGGAATTAACTCTTTTTAAAATTAAAAATTACACTAATTTAAGATTTTGACTAAAGAGTTTACCGGGGACGGAAATGTCCTTGTCAAATTTCTCGTAAGGATGGGGATGGGAACTATTTTCAATTCCACGCCAGGGATGGGGACGGAGACTAGGACAGGATCGGGGTTTTGAGGACGATGACGGAGAATATACTCCCGCCCTGCCCTATTGCCCGCCATCCCTATCCTACCATCTCACCTACTATATTGCGCGCACTATCGATGATAAGTTGAGTTAATAAAAATTCAGTGGATCATTATGTAGAGGATTAGTGTCTAGTGCTCACAAGAAATCTAGGTCATCACATTAAGTGTAATAGCTGTCAAAACTTGATCATGTGTCCTTACTAACAATCTATCACTCAAGAATTAACTGAGATGTCCGTGTGTCATTAGATGGTGTTGCTTACGTAAAATGTTTTCTTTAATTTATAGTCAACTTTTTCCACCAACGAACATGCCTCTAATTAAGTGTAAGATTCATTATATTCTTTCCAAAGGTTGAATCCAACTCTAAGGGCCCTTCACACCCCTGCCCAACAAAGTATGGGGATGATGTAAATCATGATAACTCAAATGAATATGAATCACATAGGTTAGACATTTGTTTATTGCGCACAAGAAACCTTCCTCATTTTGAGAGATTACTTCTACACTGTCGCTGGTGAGACTAGATTCCTGATAAGATTCATACTTAATTTATTGGAGGTGTTACGAATCAGAGTGGTTCCTGGTACCTCGGATGGTGGCCTACGTATTTGCTTACGCCGAGATTGTAACCAAAATGGTAAAAAATTAAAACACGTACGTCATATATATATGTCGACATTGTTTGGCTACTACAACGTCGCGACAATCAAAGATTATGGCTGAATTTATTTTAAAGTTTTGGTGAAAAAGTAAATTAAAGGATATGTTTAAGTTGAATCGAGTTTTAAAATTATGGCTAAAAGTTGTACTTTGTGTAATCGTTGCCAATTGCATCTCATTCATTTTACAAGCTGATTAGATGTACTAATTAGCAGCTACTTTGAACTATTTTTAAAAAATATTATTATTTTTATTATTTTATTTTTTTATTCTTTATTTTGTTATATGGTCGTTGCCAACTTAATTTTTTATTTTTTTAACTTAAATTTCTTTTTTTAATTGTTTACTATTATTATTTTTTTTAAAAAAAATTTCTCTTATTACAAAAAATTAAATATGTTAACATAATTTTTGATGTAATATATAATTTTAATAATATATTTTTAATTAACATTTATAATTATTAATTTAATTAAATTTTGGATGATTAAATTATAATTTAAAATGATTAATAAAATAATTAAAAGTTAATATAAATTAGTGAGCCAACTAATTAAAAAAATCAAATTGTTTTCAAAAAAATTGTGAATGATGGGTGGATGCTAGAACTAAAAACATTGAAAAAAAAAAAATCATTGCAAACGGCACCATAAAAAATACTTTTATTTTTATATTTATAATTTATTTAAAATTTCCCCAGATCACAGTTCCTATAAATTGCCCATCAAATTTCTTTACCGCAAAGCACCCAATTCTTTGACTTTCGAAAGTATCAGGTTTTTTCTTCTTCCGAATCTCACCATGTCTCAGGTATTTCCTTACGATCGAACTTCTGAGATATAAATTTGTATGCATATTCTTGAATCGGCATGACTGTTCGTTTATTCCTTCGGAATTAAATTTTTGCTTTTGATAATCAAGAAAAAATTCGTGATATTCTTTGAGATTTGCTAAGCTTACGCCTGATTCTGCAGAATCTTGAATATGAGTGATTTCTTTTAGCTAAAAAGTTGGGCTCTTTACATAAAGTTGATATTACAATGCCAAGAAATTTGCAGAATTGGGAATTTTTTTATGGCCCGATTTGATGGACTGGGATTTCTGCTTCTATTCCTTTATTTGTCTTTTAGTTTTTTTAATAATTTTTTGTTTTGTTTATATTATCTTGCTATATAAGCTTGAAGCTTTGAAATCTTAATTTGATTATTTCTCCTTAATTGGAAATTTGGAATATCTATTCAAGTATTTAGATGGTGAATGACAGATGAACATTTTAATGATCCTAATGAGTTAAAAATTGTTGGAAGTTTGAGTATTTATATAGAAAATTCATTCAAAGCTTAAGCTTTCCACTCAGTTTGTGAAATCATTTGTTTTTAGGCTAATGATGTTTGTCTTATGTTATTTGGCCATCCCAATGGTATCTGAGTCTATGCTGAAACAAGAATCCTCTGTTCTAATCTATTTTTCTAAAAATGACTGTATCCACAATGATAGATTGTAGACCATCTGGATATTATTGCAAGCCTTAAATTTTGTTTGTGTTGTTGGATGGATCAAATAATGAGTGAATTGATATCATTATTACTTTATGGGATTGAAAATACTGATTTTTATTGAAATATATAGGTGAAATTGGGATTTTGGGAAAGAACAAAATCATGTGGTTTGAGTTGTCTGCTTTAAAGTTTGAATACATTTACATGAAACAATCAGTCATAGACCTTATTCTTTGTTGGGCTTATCATGTTCTGTGTTGGATTGAATTTTATGGTCTTATAATTTGACAAAGATTTCTGTGTTTAATCCCATTTTAAGACTAATGCGTCTTTGTTCACTGTGGCAGACTGTCGTTCTGAAGGTTGGCATGTCATGCCAAGGATGTGTCGGGGCTGTCAACAGGGTTTTGGGGAAGATGGAAGGTATATTACCACATTTTCCTTAATACTCCAATGCTTTTCTTCTGAGTTAATACCCAATTTGGTTCCTCGACTATTAGGATTGGATTTCACCAATTTCGTTCTCGACTATCAAAATTGCCCAATTTAGTCCCTAACTATGTAATTTTTACCTAAAATGGTCCCTCGACTATTAGGATTTCACCACTTTAGTCCTCGACTACCAAAGTTGCTCAATTTAGTCTCTAACTATTCAAT